AGCCACATATGTTAGAATTTTTGCCATTCACTATGTTAGAACAAAACCTAGCACTTCTTAGCAAACTTAGCTACATGTGTGCTGTAGTTGACTGCTTAACGGTATTTTTATAACTTTTCACACAATAACAGTTTTAAAATAAACTGGGTTTAATGGATCAAAATTTGAATCTTAAGAGCAATTTGAAAACAGTAGTGTCTTGAAATTCAAATTTTAAATCATTGACGAAGGTTTCATTGTAAAAGTGAATTTTAATACAGTGCCAGAAAATAGTCGAATACAATGCTTCGAACTTTGGTAATATAATTTTTTAAAAATGTAAACTGTCTTAAGAAAAGAAAATACTTAATGTAAAAGGGAATTTAAAAATTTGAATTTTTCAAATTAGAGCTCTTTTTTTAGAGTTTATATAGAATTAAACTACTGCGATGATAAATATAAAATCTACACACACGCACACACACACNGCAACGTTTGCTTTGTTTTGTTTGCGCTACTATTTCTCTTACATGGCGAATCGACCAATGATTGCCGCTAAAAATATCACATGCCAAATCTAGCTGAGGTGGCTCAACATATAGCACTTTTAAAAACGGAAACTGAAATAACCTGAGAGCATCAGCTGCGGCAATCTCATACTATTAAGCTAGGCAGAAGTGAGTAGTGTTTGTCGATTGATCTCTGTTTTAGTATATCGTCAAAAGTGCTTTTTTTCACGAATTTATATATTACGAATTTATTTGACGATTTTAGACTTATATCACGAATTATACTATAGCACATTTCTAGTAGGTTTAACGAAATACATGTCATTTATTTGAATTCAAATTGACTTTAATTACTTAGTATTAATAAAAGGATGTAATTTTTTTTAAAAAAAAATTTTATATGGATTTTAATGATTGTTTTGAATTTTTAGAATTTTGTGCATTTGCAGCGCACCTAAGTTAGTATCGAGCGAAGCGAGATTGGTTTGCGAAGCAAACCATATAATATTGCGTAGCAATTTCCAGGGGTTGGCGAGAGTTAGCGAGCAGGGGCGCTGCCCACTAGTATATATATATGGGTCATTCTCACGAAAACTGTCATTTTTCAGTTCATAAAATCCCGAAAAAGTAAAGTGAATAAAAAGCNTTGATACAAAAATATATGCTAATTAGTTTTCTTGTTTCAGATTTATTGTAGGATATTCATAGTTTTAGATTAAAATAAAATTATTATAAAATTTGCTTATATTTGAACTTAAAACAAGTAAAAAATAATTTTACAAAAATCTTTAATGAAAATGCTTAAAGGACTCATTTTTTTAAGTGAAACACTACGCTACGAATTTTCGTATATATAGTAATTCATTTTATCTAAATGTTAATTTAATATATAGTATTTAAATATTTGCTTATCATTTAAGTTTNATTATAAAATTTGCTTATATTTGAACTTAAAACAAGTAAAAAATAATTTTACAAAAATCTTTAATGAAAATGCTTAAAGGACTCATTTTTTTAAGTGAAACACTACGCTACGAATTTTCGTTTATATAGTAATTCATTTTATCTAAATGTTAATTTAATATAGTATTTAAATATTTGCTTATCATTTAAGTTTTATTTCAATATAAAATTATTATTTTAATTGTTTTTTATTCTTCTTTGACAGTACTTTGTAAATAGTTTCAGTACATCATAACACGAAAAATGGTGGTAACAACTGTACATCAAAAATGGCATAAAGAACAGCAAGAGTAATTCTTTGTACAGCGAAACTCCGCAAACGTTTCATTACATTTCTTTTGGTGTTAAGTAGTTGCCACCATTTTTTTATGTTTAATCACACTAGACCATGTGACAACAAATCATGACAATAAGATATAATTCACAAAAAGTCAGTACAGTATTTCCATGACAGAGTTGATGTTTATTTGCGAACATTTTTGATGTCTGTTGATGTAAATGAAACGCATTTTTTAAGTACAATACCGTAGTTCAAAAGCAAACAATTATTTAAAATTGACAAAATAGAAATTGTTTGAAAGTATAAATAAATATTACTATATGCATTCATGTCTACATTAAAACAATAATATCAGACATGATATAATGATTTATATACTAATTTAGAAAAAAACATGATCATGTCTTATAAAATTTTATCGCAAAAGGGATAGTAAATATATCAATAAATATTGAACGTCTAATAATCAAAAATGTTAGATATCCAAAAAAAAGAAGAAGAAAAAACATTTAACAGAATATTAATGAGTTTTATTTGGGGTCATTCCAAATCCCCAGCTCCCCTTAACGCTCGTTTAGATTGCGCAAGTTCTCCCCGGTTAAATAATTCAAAAGTAAAAATAAATATAAGAAAGATTGCAATTTTAATATTATAATTCCCGATTGCTTTAAGTTTAAGGTCACTCTAACCTTGATAGTTTTTCATGGTTTTCCTCTCCACGTAACGCAAATGCGGGTTCTCAATCCAGATCCATCAAAAAGTCCTCCACGAAGGTTAATTTCTCCCAATACTTGATCAAGGAGTTCCCTTGTTTTCTGGATTTGGTTCAAAATTACAAGGCTACGGAATCGAACATTATTAGTCGTAAATCCAAAAAATCGGGTCAGCTGTTCAACACGTCTATAAAATAAAATAAAGTATATTTACTTTAGAATTTTCCTATTTTTAATTTTTTTTTTTAATTTGCTGTACAATGTAAACGTTTGACATGGATGAAATGAAGCACTATACCTAATTTACGAAATAAATTTCCTTAACTTCTTTGTACCCAACTACGTCTTAATTCCAGAAGAAAAATTTTACTGCTTAAATAGAGCCACTAAGAGAAAAATATTTTTTCCTGGTATCCAGTCATGCAATACCTGCCTACAGTATATTATTGCAGATAAAAGAAATATGTATATTTAAAACTTGAACAAATCTGAAGAAAAAACTACTATTAGAAATTTCAGCACATGTTAATCCATAATATCACTAAAATTTGCTATAACGCAATTATGGTTGCGGCAACGTATTTATAGCGTTGAATTCAACTGTATTTTATTCTATAATCGGTGTTGAGCAGGTGACCCAATTCTGAGTTTATGACTATCCATGTTTAACTCTGTAGCCTAGTAATTTTAAACCCAACCCAAAAGACAAGAGAACTCCTAAATCAAGCATTGAGATAAACTAGCCTTTGGGGTGGACGAAATTCTTCCATGGTTAGCCTAATGGCAAGGGAATTCTAACCCATGATCTGTCTACCACTGAGGATATTTTACATCTGCACTGTGATCAGTGCGTGCTGTGATCCGAATTCGTATTAAAAAGCCATCAGTGGGATTTGAATCTGGATCACCTCGCCTCATTGAGAAAAAAATGCTATCTTCCTTGAACTCAAGTTGAACGATAGTATCCTATCTTTTTAATTTAATCACTCGTTACAATGATTAAACTTAAACGAAAATGTTATTCAATATAACACCTTATTATATCCGTGGCTATTTTTTATCTTTTTGTTGATTACAGCAACAATTTGATGTCTCAACATCGTATCTGTATTTTTTAGAGAAGTACACATCTTACACTTCATAATTTTAAATGCTAATACGTGTATTTAATTTAATTTCTACATAAAATTGATCGCTAAAGGCGTAGTTCACACCGCTGGTGAAGATCTATGGGTGGTGAGTTTGATCCTGGTAGCCAGCAAAGCATCCAAAGTGCACATGCGGCAATATAAATCTGTTGCGGCGGAAAGTTTTTTTTTGGAAGATGGGTAGGTACTTTATTTACGTTGCACTGGAGCTGCACAATTTGTTATTGGTAACGGTCTGAGAAACATTCCTGAGGATGACCCGAAGACATGCCATCAAAAATGTGATCCTATGCAGAGGTGATAGCCCCCTCGTTTTGGTAACCCGACGACCTACAACCGAAGTTGAGCACTTTACAGTAGAACAATTTAACTAGGACCAATAACGCGCACCCTCGATCCCTGTGCAGGCTGATCAAAGTGGCCACCCACCCACTTACTAACTGCAACGAGTGATGCTTGACTTTGGTGTTCTACTGAGGATTGTGCATTCCACTACGGGAAAAAAATATTTTCAGTATGAGATGTGGAAGTTTGGAGATGGAGTACCAGCTGAGGCCACATCGTCCACGTTGAACTTTCTACAAATTTAAAAGATTTCATAGTTCAACGCGCTCCAAAACTTCGTACATGATACTTGCACTTACTTTTTTCATTCTCAATATTTACTTTCTTCCAATTTTCTAATTAATTATTATTCAATAGCAACTAAAGAGTCGAATTTGTACCGACAGAGAGTTGCAACAAAATGAGAACACACTCCTCATGCTTCATTCTGTAATACTAGAATAATTCCTTAATTCTGGAAGAGAAACCGCGGTACTTTTTTTCAAGTACTCCTATTCTACAGTACAATAATGATTAAGTTACAAGAGTATTCAACCGGACTACAATAAAAACAGGGGAAATGTGAAGCAAAATATAGTTATGTATTTATAAATATATACATAATATTATATATTGTTTCAAATTTTCGCCTGACTTAGAATTCATGAATAAAAATATAAAAATAAATTGAAGTGCATGGATTTTTTTTAAAACTTTTTTTATGCTTGCATTATATGTTGAAATATAACTTACTTATTTCGTTTGTGTTCAAAGAAAATATAATAATTTTCTGCCAGTTTACAAAATTATTTTGCAATAAATTATAAATGAAAGTTGAATGAATGATGCACAAAAATAATAGATAATGTCATTAGGTAAAATCAAATAAAGTTATCGGGAAAATACGAATGTTAAGCATTAAAACTGTATAAAACTACTGTTTACAGCTGCTATAATATTTAAGTTATAATATCGATAGGAAGATGGAATTTTTAAAGTGTGTTCTTCCAAATATCGCATAATACATGTTTAAGTTTTAAATTGATAAAAAAAAATTATATTGCTTTTGAATAACGGAACTTACCTAAGTCGGTTGAGAGAGGTTCTTCTTCAATTGGTGCTACATCAAGAGCAATCAATTCACTATTTATATTCAGCAAAAAAATCAAAATTAGTGTTAACATATTCAGATTCCGAAATTCACACTTTTTCATTTTAATATTAGAGCACACTGATTTTATATAAGAAAAAAAATACTTGTATTAATTATTCCTATTACTTGGTGTATCCTTGTTTACATGAAAAGAAATTTCCTGACCCTTTCATTTTTAAAAAAAAAAAATCTGATGTTATGCAAAAGGGGTTCGACAATCTACTATATAAGTTCAGAGCGGTGCTACTTTCTTACCCTTCCTTTCCTCAGTTCTAACGCGATGTGACTAGAATCCTTGTCCTAGAGTAGAAAGGTTGCAAGGAGAATTTGGATTTCATCGCCAAATCATGGCGATATTTTAGAATTTCTGATTTCGTTTTCTAAATCCGAAGGGAGGTAATGTTTCCTGTTTTTGTTTCACATTTTATGCCAGTTTTATAGGGCAGTGAAGCACGAAATTTTACGCTTTCTTATGTAACGATACTGAACTTTCTTTGTGCATAAACTTTCTTTACAGTTTTCTGTGAATATAAGAAAGAGAAATATGGGACATGGTGAAAATTTGCTTCTTTTTGTATAACTTTCAGAAATGAGTAAGGCGCGTGAATTTTGAAAAGAAAGAGCAAGAAAAGTTTAAAATTTTTTTTTAAGCCTGACATTGTTTCCTTGTCATTATTTTACTTATAAGGGAACTATTATTGTATTTAATTATAATTATATGCACAGCAACATGTTTTCCCTCCTTAACATAATCGCCTCCGACTTGTAATCTTATATATATTGCGTAGTTTTAATCTGAAATCTGTGAAATAACACAAGTGCATTAGAGTTAACTTTAATGCAAACTAGATTTTATAAGTAATGTTTCAGATTTAAAAAAAATCTTTCACCTACATACGATGGAAAAAAAACTAAATCATGTAACTATGTCCCATTTTCTAAATTATATCATGTTGTTTATCACCCTATCGATGCAATTTTTTACTCACCTAGAAGTTTCTTGGAAGAAGCATTAATGCATTATCGATGAAGGTATTTTAACGGAATTTACCCGCACTTGCGTTACCCTACTCTAATTAGATAAAAGAGATTAAAAATGTTATTGCGGTTATACGACTCAAGCTCATAATCTTTTTATTACTTGATTTGTAAGATTTTTATCAATTTAACGAATTTTCTACATTAAATCTCACCCAAATGAGTAACAGAATTTCATGTCTATTGATACCACAAAATCAATTAATTATCTTTTAAAAGCTTCATTTAACACTATCAGTTTTCTAAAAGTATATCTCAGGAAGTGGGACCATATTACTTTATATATATAATATTTATTATAATATATA